ATAATAATTCCTCTAAATTATGGGAAAGAATATTTTATTTTTTACACGATAGTTAATGAAATATGTGTTTTCAGTATTTTTTCCAGAATTGAGTATAATTAATAAATAGTTAACTGGAAATGTACGTACTTCCAAAAATCATTCACACGAATTTTTAGTTTTGGCAACCAGGCGAATTGAGCTAACGATTAGTTAGGCGGTTTCAAAAAGTTGGACTAAATAAGCCAGCAATGTTGTTGTTTCATATGTATGTATGTATGTATGTATATTTATTTTCATTTTAAATTTCATTTTTACAATATGATGTATCTTAAATTAATATATAAATAAATATAAAAATAAATATAATTAAAATAGCGACTGTGACACAATGTCGTCCGTCGACTTATATTGTAATAGTAGTATTAAAAGTAGTTGTGCAATAGTGAGTATAACAATAAACTAGTATAAACACATTATAAATAATAGAAGATCCACAAACTATATATTAATTATTATATTGTGATATTAAATAATACCGATATGCTATACAATTTTTTACATATTCTGCTACTCTTACCCATTGTACCTCCGAACCGTTTAAAACATTTATAATGCCTTCATAAGATAGAAAAGCTTTACCAAAGCAAGCCAATCGGAACTCTTGTAGAATAGGACAACGACCAAGAAAATGCACAATATCTTCAGTCTCATCTAAATTACATATACTACAGAGCGCAGATCTACTCGTATATATATCAAATCTGTTTCCATTTAGCTGTATCATGCTACTTCTTGCTTTGAGTATCCAGGTGATATTTTTAATATGTGTTATGTCAGCTATATATTCCTTTCCTAGTGATGGTGTTAAGTCTTTATATAATCGGTTAGTTTGTTGAGATTTACTTATATATTTTTCCCTCAAATCAGCTTTCAGAAATGTCAACAGCAGTTCATTATTTGCCTTCCAAAGATTTCGCGATGCTGTTTGTTGATTCCAATTTATGCTGGAAACATTTCCCAGCTCATTTAGAACCTGCACCCAAGAAAGGTTAAGATTTAACAATTTTTTGGTCAATTGATTGGGTAATCTTTCGGTACCATATATATACATGGTTCTGAAAATGTAATTGAGGTGCAATTTTAAGGTATATAAATGTCCATCTTCCGCCCCAGTCTCTAACATTAAAATATATGTTGGCGTAAATTGTGGCATTCTCAATATTTTCTTTAAGAAGTATAATTGTAGTTTATCCACCTCTTCGAACAGAGTACAGCCCCATACTTGAGCACCATATGATTGTATTGCTCTACTTATTGCTAGAAATTGATTCCATTTTGCTTTTATAGGTATGCCGTTCCTACTAAGAAAGTTGTTCCACGTAAGATTTATACTATTTTTAGCTGCAATAGTTCTCCTCTCTACATGCTTCCTAAAGTTCATTGTTGGAGTCAATGTCACGCCTAGATAGCAGTATTCATTCACTATTCTTATTTCTTCTCCACCGAGATACCATTTTTCTTTATTTGCCAAACTACCTCCTTTTCGAAAAACCATAATTGCGGACTTACTTAGATTGATTTCTAAATTCCAACTATGGCAGTGTGATTCCAACTTATAAATCATTTTTTGCAGCGTCGTTATATCGTCAGCCAGTATCACAATGTCGTCGGCATACATTAAAGTTCGAATGTTTAGTTCTTCTATCTGTATGCCTCCTCCCAAAAAATCATGTAAGTCATTGAGATAAAGAACAAACAAGTGCGGTGATAATATACAACCTTGTTTCACTCCGCTTACAGCTGAGAATTCATTAGATAGGTCTTTTCCAGTCCATACTGCACATTTAGTGTTCGAGTACACATTTGCAATAAAACGGACCATTTTGGTTGAGACTCCAGCTGCGTGAAGCTTATAAATTAACGCCTTTCGAGAGACCTTATCGAAGGCTGCTTTAAAATCTACAAAAAAGGCAAAACGTATGCCATATTATATTATATTATTGTTTTTAAAATTTATCTGTACTATTGATGACAAGTTGTAAATATTATCCACTGTAGAATAATTCTTCCGGAACCCAGCCTGAAATTCGTTTATTATTCTATTACTTTCGGTCCAATTTGTTAGCCTGTCTGTTACTACACCCATCATAATTTTTGCAATACAATTCATAAACGATACTCCGCAATAGTTGCACGGTGTTATAGTTTTGTATAGCTCATAAACTTCCATATGACCGTGAGCATATTGTATATCTAATGATGTCTGTGACTGGTTTAGTAAATTACTAAAGTATAATTTCAGCATTTCTGCCTCCATTGTAATCGTTGAACTTGAATTTCCATTTATTTCTCTCGCAATTTTCCACCAGTCTTTGTTTGTCTTTACATTTTGTATCTTAGCATCCAATTGTTGGTAGTATCTCTGTTTGGCTTCTGCACATATAACTTTATAGTGCTTATTATCTTTTAAGTAAATCTCTTTGTTCTGGCTGCTACTTACTTGTCTAAATTTTTCTAGGCTTTTGAATGTTTCCTGTCTCGCTTTATGACATCTCCAGTTAAACCAATTTTGTTTTTTCTCGAAGGAGTGTTCCCTAATTTGTGTTTCTTTATGCGCTGATTTAATTACATAAGTTATATCCGTCAGAGTTAGCAGATCTTTATTCTGTTTTACATTTAATAAGGTTTCACTTATTCGCTGTTTATATGTTGTAACTTGCTGTTTATTCCATTTCAATTTTGAAAGTAAATTTGTATTTGTTCTTACCGTTTCTATATCTGTCAATCTTAACGTTAAGACTATAGGAAAATGGTCAGACCAGTGTGTGTTTCCGACTTCAAACTTATCGATAAATTCAAGTATTTCTAGGGAGACTGCACAGATATCATTTACTGACATTCCAACTCCACTACAGAATGTAATTTCTCCTTCCTCATCACCTTTTGTCATTCCATTCGCTATTACAAGTCCGTTGTCACAGCATAAATGTATAAATCTATGTCCACGAGAGTTTTCCACTTCGTCTTTAGATTCCCTTTCTTCGAATCCAGCCGTAAAGTTCGCTATATATTCCTCTTCCAAGTAGTTTTGCATTTTACCAATTCTGACATTCAGGTCTCCAATCACAATAAGATTTTTAATTTCATTTTCCATGAATATTGTCTCCACTATATCTGCCATAATTATTAATTCTTGTTGCATATTTCCATGTTAGATTGTAACCTCCAAAATATTTACTCAGACTTTCTGCTTTATTTTCATTCACATGGGTTTCTAACAAGAAGAATATATCAAAACGCTTAATGTATTTAAAAAATCTGGAAACATTAATTTATTTTCTAATCCGTTGATATTATACGATACTATACTTAAACTATGCTTATCTATTTCTTTTATTTTTTTACTTATTTTATATTCTAGTTTTTTGACTTTTCTAATTGGTTCTTAAAGTCTAAAGTAAATTTCTTAATATTATCACCATACTTATGCTTAAGGATGTCTTCGGCTTTTTGAACCCCACACATTAAGATGAACTCCTTATTGAATGTGCACCAGTTTTCGCCTATCTTGATTGCATCGTTTTTTACATATACTTTGTACTTACGGTCTACGTTCAGGATATCCGCTTTCAACTGCAGTAGGGCTTTCTTGCATTCTAGTCTTTTCTTATCTAAGTCCCTCTCTATTATTATTTTATGTCCTGATAAATTTTTGACACTTTTAAAAACTTCTGTTGCCATGTCTTCAGAACCCATTTCTGCCACTACGCTTATTCTTTCATTTCTTGTGTAGATAATTCTTGCTGACGCGATTTTTACCTCCGATAGTTTTAATATATGATTACAAACCATTTCGACTGCTTTTTTTGGACTGTTAGCTTTTTCTAAACCTTTAAATATTACATTTTTTCTTTTACTTTGGCTTATAAGGCGGTCTATTTCTAATTGCTCATGTTCCCTCTCGCGCTTTAATTTCTCTAGTTCCTTCTTGAGTTCGCTATTCTCCTTAGCTAGATTTTCAACTTTATGATTTATATTGCCCATCTTTGCTTTTATATCTTCCAGATCTTTTTTTGTGGCCACATTTTGTAGTTTATCATCTAATAGGTTTGATAATACACTCATTAGATCTGACAGCTGCATATTACCCACTGAATTTTTGAGTACCATACTTTCCTCTTGTTCAGGCGATGTTTCCTTTAACATTCTTTTCGCACCGCAGCCTGTTGGTACACTTACACCTGCTGGAACGTTCGGTGGTGTGCGATTCATTTTTGACATAATTGATTGTCTTTGATATTTTATTAAATCAAATTAATTATTGTTAACTATAATTTTTTAATTTAATTTATTGCCTACTTTTAGGTAATACTTTTAGGTTACATATGTTATGTTTAATATAAACGGTTGTTCTTTTGTGATATGCTTAAAAAAGAAAAGGTCTAATAGTAGAACATTTGAAAAAGTAAAAAACTTCATTTCTAGGTTGCCTTTTCAGCAGAAATATTAAATATATAAAATATGCATCTGGTGAAAGCTAAGCTGAAAAAAACCAAGACTAATCACCACAAAAAAAAGAAAATACTTCATATCGTTTTAAATAAAATTTACTTTTCTTTCATTATTAAGACAACTGTGGTGGTTTATAGTTTCAATTAAAAAAAAATTATTATTGAAATTCAGTGTCGAAACTTACCTGAACGGTACGAAAATTTCTTCACGCTAATCACTTAGTGTTTTACCCATTAATTAAATTCAGAACACAAAAAGACAAAAAAATAATTTATGAATCACAAAATATAATTTATTTTTTATTGTCAAATGATTTTTTGTTTTAAAAATCAGTTCTTCATTGAGTTTTTTTAAAAAGTTTATATACCCAATACAAATATGAATTTTCCATATATTTTTTTTTGTTTTGGTAGAGTTTAAAATTGTAAGTAAAAAAAAATAATATTAAAAATGCTAAGAGTAGCCAAAACTTTTGAAATTCCTTATATGGTTCAGATAAAATTTATTTGTGTTAAAATTTGTATTCATTGTCTGTACTTTGAATATATTTTTGCACTTTAAAAAGTAATATTAAGAAAAATGAATCGCCAAATGTGATGATTTCCTTTTTGCACGGTGAGTTGAAACAAATATTCGTTGCTATTATTTTTAAATACATTTATTTGCATAAAGGACTTTCAAACAAGGTTTACGATAATTATTAAAGGGAAAGGGAAAACTCGTTTTAATAATTACCCTAAACTTTACTACACCGGACTTGACTTTACTGAATGTGTCTTTACGTAGTGCCTTTACAAACCTCCGTTTGACGTTGATATAATGGAATGTCAAACATAGTCAGGAGTTACATGGCCTGTATATCAGTATGTAAGTATTTCAAAATAAAATTTTAAATCATATTTGTTTATTAAAAACCATGGCCAATTATATATTATTTATTAATAATTTTATATATACTTTTTCATTAATAATTATTTTTATTCTGCGTTAGCAAATGCATTCCGTTGATGCATAATGATATTATTCTTTCATGAAGCGGATAATTCTCAAGAATGTACCTATATTTGATATGGTTGCAATGATAATCTGAGTTTATTGCTTTACCAGTTTAGAGATAATCTCTCAACAAAATTTCTTATGCATCCGAAAAAACATGACGTTGACACCTTTTAATACGAACTCGCTTCAGACCGTGAATCCGTTAGATCCGTAAGTATATTTAAATCTGACCCATACATAAACAACATAACTCTGTCATTTATTTTAAAAGTGCTCTCGATATTCCCGATAAAGTCTCATTTGAAAGTGTTGTGGTTGTTGTATTTTAAACAATTGAGTTACCCATTCTGCACACAGCTGTGAGCCTAAAGTCTAGAGCTTCTATTACATCTTTTTCGTTCAATCTACAATCTTTTGAAATCATATATTTTTGGAACAATTTTTGGTGTTGATATAATTTTTGGACATTATACTGTCCAAAATTATACTTTGTTTGAGCAATTATAATTCGTGTTTTATTATAAGTGTTAAATATTAGTTACTATTGATATACTGACGTTAAGTTGTAAAAACTTTTTTCATTCAATATTGTTTCCTTTTCATTTTTTATTATTTAGTAACTTGGACCTTCAGCCTAGACTTTCTCCTGTTGTATGCAAGATTCAATGCATTCCTTCATGGTTAACACAGTTCTCACCAAAGTTTTAGATTGGATGCCGTCAGGTATTTTTCAGTCCAACACATCAAATTGGATGTAGGATCAAACCTGAGCTACCAATCGTATGGATTCACCTGTCCAATAAAGGTTATGGTTAATTTAACTTATTATGCAGATGCTTACTAAGTTGCATTAATCACACTATATAACGGCGGATTTAAGAAGAGTTGCTGTTGAGATTTGAGGTGATATTTGCATTATTTTAATTTACAATAAAACAAAAGAAACATTTATCAGAGAACGGATATCTCTATTGTTCTTACTCTTCTATGATCCATCTATAAGAAAATTGGTCTATGTTTGTGCTGATCATGATCATGATTTCCATACGTCGTGGATATATGAGGTTGTATCTATATATATACGTAAGTATATCAGAATTAAAAATATTTTTATTTGTTTTGTAGAGATGCAGAAGTCGTATTTAACAGTGATTAACAGTAATTAATCTGAGAGGCTACATACACAAAAATTTGACTAGAAAGTTTTTTTAATGTCAGAATCTGTCAACTGTCTAACTCCTATGTATAGGATATACGTGTTAATATATTTGCATCTTTTAAGTTATGATGCTATTATTAATGTAAGTGATAAAATCACTGCCAAATTTTTAGTTGAAAAAATTCTTTGTAAAAAAAAGTAACATATATCTATAATAAAACTTTTTTGCCAGAGAGATTGCATACAGTTTTTTATTTAAAATTCTATGATTATTTGAAGCTTCCATTTTATTTACAACTAATAAGCATTAAATATTTTAAAAATTTTCTTCGTTGTATACTTCAGATTTATTGATTCAAAATAATTGAGGTGTACAGTGATATAAAAAGACATTAAGACTCTTTCAGTGTATAAGTTCATCCTATTTATGGCGATAACATTTCTTACCTGTGCAGAATATTTTTCCAACTTTAGCAAAATAACACTTCACCGAAAAAGGTAGGTGTGATTATGTGCTGCAGTTATCTAGATAGTTCGACTAGTATGAAACTAATTAACTTTTTAATTCATCTGTTAAAATTCATAATTTATAAACAGAAATGATGCGGAACTAATTTAAAATGTTAATATTTTATGTATACATTTTTTTTAGAAATAAAAAGTAAACATTTTTGTATAGTTTTTCTTCGAAAATTGATTTTATGGTACTATGGTGCGTATGAGTAACGTGAAAGTCACCTGATTAATTAATTTTTTTTAATTACTTCTAAAATGAATATCACAGTCGAAATATTTATTTCTGAAGTAGAATTTATATATTAATTTGAATCAAAACTAAAAAAAAGAAATTTTTGTGACATATGCCTTTTTTTTTTTACTGAAAAATCGTGTGTATGTGTTTGGTGTGATATGAAAGATAAACAAATTTTTAAAAGTACTTCTAATTACAATATCGTCCTGAAATTTTTGGGTTTTATGTAGAATTTTATTACTAATCGAAATTAAAAATTTTATATAGGAATATATGTAATATATTCTTTGAAAATTCATTCAATGGAAATGTAGTATGCATGTGCATGATGTGTTTTGCGGGAGAAAAAAAAAATTAAAATATTTAAAAAAATAACGGTTTCGTGAAAATTTTTATTTCGTAGTGAAATTTGAAACTAAATCTAAATAAAATATAAAACCTGGAATCTATGCGGACGTATTACAAGAAAAATTTTTTTTTTAATATAACGGCTAATATTAGTGCTTAAATATTAACAATTTTAATTGTTTAAACAATTTCATAAAAGTTCAATCAATCAATCTTTGAAACGCTGTAAATTTTAAGTTTCTACCTTTAATAGAACTTGAGATATAGCCATATAAAAATGTGTCTACTATGCCAATTCTCAAAACCCCATGAGTCCATGTCTCCTAGAAAAAAATCTCAAAATTTTTTCCAGAGATACGGGTCTTCTTATTTTATGAAAGGAGCTCATAAAAAAAATTTAAGCCAAATCGGTCCGAGTCCGAGTTATAAAAGAATGACCCATATATGCTTAATATTGTTACTAACTATTTTGGGCAAACATCTCAAAGATTCTATTTCAAATACCTCTCGGATAAATGTGGCTATAATATAAATCTAAAAAAGGCTACTCCACAAAATTATGAATAAAGCCTTTTAAATTTAAGCCAATAAGCCTTTGAGTGAAAAATATATAAAAATTTATATTTTGGTATATGTGACAGATGTGTGTTGTATATACAAAAAAACATTATTAGACTATATAAAACTAAATATTACAAAGGTCATATTAATTGCCAATATTCATTGTTGTTCAAACGTCTTTATTTATTACAAAATGCAAATTTGAACCGACTGGGGTGGAATAAATATTAGCCAAAAAATTTTTTTTGTTACCTGGTTTTTTGCTAAATATTATTTTTTTTTTAAAGATATTTCAATATATATATTTCAATAAATGCAATTTTGTGATATTGGGTCTTAATTATCCCCAGTCATGTTTACGTCGTTTGGGACAATATGTCAAATTTAGAAATAAACTTCAAACTAAGTGGATCATGAGATATATAAATATGTGCTAAAGAACAGTCGAAATATTCATTATATTTTATTTCAAGATAAAATCGTTCAAATACTTTGCGTATGTTGTCGTACTTGCAACTTTTCATCTGCGACAAACATTGAATAATGACGGATACATTTAAAATAAACAACTTTAAAGTTATCTAAAAAATTTCGTAGATATATAACAAAATGATGTGAATACACTAGATATACTATACTGCAATATTCATCAAAATTATTATTAGATTTTGGTGCCTAATCTACCGCATGCACACTCATACCTTATTATCGTGAAATAAACTATAATCCTTATATACCAGGAATAGGAAGGAATATTTCATCGTTGTTAAATTGTTTCTCGTTCTTAGCATATAAAATCAACACAATAATTTCATTCAAAACGTGACTGGAAATCTTTAAATCGAACACATTTTTGAAATATTTAATGTTTTTGATAAGAATACAACGGAAAAAGTTGAAGAGAAATGAAATACTTTTAAGGTAGAGATTTTTTATTTAGGTCAATTTGCTTAGACATGTTGCTCCAACAAAAGCATCAGTTCCTAAGTTATAAGTTATCAATCATGTCTACACACCCAATGGAACATTTGAAGCGAGCAGTTATTTGGGACATACAAAACTCATTAAAACATTGTTCGTCGCTGCTTACGTGAATAGCAAACTAAAATCCTAATCAAATGATAAGGTCCTTCCTGCGAAAGGACCGAAATTCGTATAAACCAGGAAGTGTTTTGTATTGTTTTTTGAAACAAGCAAACGAGCAAACGAGCAAACAACCACACACATGAATGAAATTGCTACTCTTAAACAGACTTAGATTTACGAAAAATATTGAATATAGAGTAAAAAATTCTAAATTTTAAATTGCTAAATTATTTTAACAATCTTTGTAGTCGAATATTTATTTTAAATTCAGTAATGCTAAGGCAAGAAAATAGTGGATTGCAACTATAATTTTGACATATATTAAAAGTATTTTCTTACAACAAATATCCAGTGATCTTTCCAAATGGAAATTACATTTAAATATGACGTGCCCTATATTTGTATATAGAATAATCTGTAAGTATCAAATCGATTTTCACATAAAAAATCACCCGACGTTTGACAAATATTTATTTTACGCTATATGTATTTTAATAAAAACAACGCTTGCCAGCCATAAAATCATGGTTTATTTTCTAATAGACTCTCTAGTATGCCTTAAAATAAGAAAAGAACTAATTCTTTTCATGATGACTTTTAAAAATATCAAAAACACATGTAAAGAAAATCGTAATATTTTTCTAAAAAAATTTTAATTGTAATAAGTCCTCCAAGGAGGGCTATTATTAAGCTTTAGAATATATCAGGAAAAAATTATAATTTCATATTGATTTCTTCTTGTGAAATTATTTAATACAAGAAATGTCTTATTAAGTTGCAATTAAGTAACACAATCACTTACTTAGAGAGTAAGTTCAATTTAAAATTAATTATTCGTTTGGTTATATATTATACTAAATATATGTATGTAACAAAATAATTATTTTTTTCTGCTTTCTGTTACTCTAATATCTACTGATTTACTAATAACTATAACAAAATTATTCAGAGTCTGTAGAACTAAATTTCCAATCATTAGTATCTAGCATTGTATTCATGCTGACATCGTCACTGGAACAACTATCTGACATCGTTTCATCGCAAGCAATCATTGGTAAATTTGATTTGTAATTTGAGAGTTCCTCATCTTGAGATGAACAAGTGTCCGCATTATCAACTATTGCTTCTTCCAAGCACTCCTCATTTTGATCAGCAGCAAACTTTTTCTGAGGCGGCTCACAGGTTTCAGTACAATTTGATTTTTCTTCATTTCTCGCTACCATTGCTAATCTTGCACGTAGTGCCTTCTCTCCGTATAACTCTTTATAAATGTATTTTAAACTATATATATTTTCAGAATTTTCGGATGATGATGTGTTGATGTCTAAGAAATGAATGTCAGTATTTGATACAGCATGATCAACCTTTGGCACAAATGAATCAACTTGATCCATTTCCACATTTCTTTGATTTGGTTTACAAATTTCACTTTGTTGTTCTATAAACTTTTTTGAGACATCATCCTCGAAATAAAGATCTTCATTTATAATGTCCAGCTGTGGCGAATTTTCATCATCTACTGTAGATTGTTCTTTCTTAGTGGTTTCTAATATAGTCAGTGGTTGCTTTGTTACACCAAAATCTTCTTCGTCATTATTTTCAGCATTCGCACTTTCCGCACCATCCATAAAATTTTGTTTGCTGCTTTCATCTATAAGTTCAACGTCCTCAACATCTTCAGTTTTATCAATGTAATTCAAATTATCCAGAGTCTTGTCATAACATTCATTCTAAAAAAATCAAAATAAGTTTTGCATTTAAGATTATTCAAGAAACAATAGGAAATAGATAATTTTTGATTTAAAAACTCCCAAAAAACTATAATAAAGTAAAAAGTTTGCAATGAAAAGAAAAGATAACTATAATTGTAAAATTATTATCAATATGAAATTTTTAATACTTCCGTTGTATTTAATGTGTTCTCGGCCTTATTAAAATCTTCTTCACTTGTGCTATCATCACTCGAACTGGTATCACTATCATCACTATCATCGCTCTCGTCTGTATCCTGTGTCTCGTGATTACTGTTATTCTGAAAATAATTTCAAACAAAACTTTTATTTTATATTTAAAATGAAATAATCTGCAATAAGTAGAGATTTGAGAAGTACGAGTTCCCCTAAATATCGAAAACATCGAATTGATGGAAATCAAAGAAGAAGCCCAGGAAATATATTGATCTGAAGGTGAATGTTATTAGCAGAAAATAGTGACAAATATAACTTTTAAGAGCTTTTATAATAAAACCCAAAAAAGTGATTTTATGAAATATTTGGGAAGATAATTTGAGTTGGTAATGGTGTATTTCATAAATCACAGAACGATAGAGACACGTGAAACGGTCGTTCTCATAAACGAACTTCTCTTTATATGTTAACTGCACTATATTGTTAGTCACCCAATTTTTGATTTCATAGAAAACACATTTTTAACGTTTCTAACAAATGTTTTAGCCATGCAGATCTGCTGGTCACGGTAATATCCGATTATGAAGCGTTCCATTGTATTTAGGATATGTACACGTAAAAGGGTACCAGGCAAAGCAGTCATTTCCTTTTTAAACACTTAAATTTTTGTTTTGCTGTTAATTATTTATACAATTTTATTTTATTAACTTATTATAAACTTAATAAATACCTTACATATATATACATATATTACATATATTATTAAAGTAAATTAAAAAGAGTTTCTAAAATATATGTCTCTTTTTACTAAGATCTAAATAACTAAAACATTACCAACTTGAGCAACAAATTCCAATAATCTGACTAAAAAGTCAAAACTTAAAACCTCTTCAGTACAATATGGAAGAAATATTTGGGGAGTTTGCTTCAAAGTTGGTGATGCTGATATTCAATCATTTGACATATTCTGCTATTTGGATAGCATTGTGATATCAAATGGTAATATCATTGAAGTTAACATATCAAAGTCAAATTAAATCATTAAAATTGACTTTGTGCCAACCGCAAAGTTGTGGAAAGTGTTTTCCATATTTTTTACTATACCAAAATGAAAATGTTATATTTAAACATGAATTCAGTTGTACTGTATGGCATTGAGAACTACAACTAATGGTGTTACCCATGAAATGTGTTAATATTGTCAGTATCTATACAAATTGAAAGTAGAGACAAAAACAGATCAAATACATTATACCATCATTATTTTTTTGATAAAGTGCGAGTATTTGTGTTGCTCGCTTACTGCATAGCATATAAAACGACTAATTAATAAAATTAAACCATTGCTAACTCCAAGAACGCTGTTGCAAATTTACTTCAGAGTTTTGCAAACCAATTAAAAAAACTTATACTTTTAAGGGCTCTTAAGATTAAGGGTTTTTCATCAAGATTTGTTTAAATATTCATCCACAACAGCTGATTAAAATCTTTTTCAATGTTCAGTCGGTTTCAATGGATTTGATATATATCTCAAAAATGAGATTTAGTTAAGAATTATGAATTTTATGCTTAGTATTGTAAATGTTTTGGTCAGCCCGTGTTATTGGATTAATCGATTTGTGCAAGAAACCAATATTTACAAGAAAATACTCACAGTTGTGGTTTCAGCTACTTCCAAAATATTACTTAAGTATGAAGATAATGATTCGTTGATTCTAGTATTTCTAAAATGGGTCAATGTGTCATGTAATCCTGCGTAAGTTATGAGATCCTGATCTCCTGTTAAATGATAAGTACCTTAAAGAACCAAAAGTTTTATTCACTCAGTTTAAGCTTTCTGGAGTTGCTATACTATAAAGTGGAAATATTCAGCTCACCATTCAAGTGTTCTCGGAAGGTTTCGTAGTTGGTTTCGAAACAATAAAACGGTGGTTCCAACATTGTTGAGTTATTATTTTGTGTAGTTGATGAAATTTCCACTTTACTTGTTGAACAATCAGTAGGAAGATCATCAGTTGTTGTTGGAGATAAGTCCATTATGATAGATGACTAATAAACATTAAGTATTCATGATAAAATCATTAACTCAGTTACTTCAATTCATTTTAAAGTAATTGATACGTAAACGGCTTTCTTACTTGAATATTATCAGATTAATGCGAAATGAAAGTAATAACAAAACTTGTATTTACTTCACGACACAATCGAGTTTCATATATCGAGATCAGTAATTGCGAGGCTACTAAAATTGATCAGCAACTTGAAATATACATATTATCTATCAACAGTATACTATATGTGTAAAAAATATATAAAATGTTGTAAATGCGAATAGTGAGTAAAGTTAAGGGATAAGTTAACAAGGTGTAGCTCAACATTTTACTCAAGTGGTTTATGTTAATTTTGTCAACGATGGATTTCGATGTGAACTTGAGCGTGATGTTAAGGATCGATAGAGTATTAAGGATTTTAATTGGGTTATTTAAAATAGTATTTTCTTACCAGTTCGTGCTTCGACATATACCATAAATTTTCAAGATTTATGTGCAACTTGTCATGTGGTTAGAATGACATGTCTAACAATATTTTAGTTCAAATAGAGATTATTGGTTTGATGAAGGCAACTTAATTTTCACAGGTTATTTTCACGGCCTACCTAATATAATTTATTTCTTATCGATGATTAACATAATTACGATTTATCACAATATTTACAATTTATATGTAAGATGTTAAATTAAAGTTTAAATTTTTTCACTTGATAAGCTTCCGCGCTCCGAACTCAACTCAAAATTACTGATCAAGCTTCTGAGCAACAGTCACTTCCCACCTAACATATGTCGCCATAAAAAATATGTTAATATAGTAGTAATGGGTTTTGTAGTATTTATAATAATAAATCAAGTAAATAAATAAATAAAAATTTCCTGGGAAAGTTTTGAAATACATTTGACATATGTATGTCATTCCTTGATTTTGGCTGACGCAAGCATTGCCATTAATGTTTCAGGTTTCATTGGTCGTTAAAATTCTACTTTCAAGACACGCACGTGGTTTCTTGCGTTTGAAGCAGATAATGAAGTATCGAATGAAACAACTGCAATTTTTAAACACCTTTTTTATTGATAAAAAATATGTTTTCTAATCATGTATTTTTTGAACTTTAAGCATCTAAAAATTAAACAAAAATTAGAACACTATTTAATATATTTATTAAAAGATACTAAGTTAATAGGTTTTTAATAATAAATGATAAATTCAATAACAAGAAGTTTAAGAGAAAACAGAAATTTACATCATCGGAAATAATTGACGGCACCCACAAAAACCTCACCGTGGAACTATCATTTCGCTTCATTCTTTTATAGCTGTAAGCTGTAAGGGTAGAAGGATAACTTAAGATGTGACTTCATTATAAAATTCATTACAGAATATATATTATAGTTTCCAGAGCATTTGGCATAAATATGCAGCATCTTAGAATTCAGCATAGTCTATATCCTTGGTTAGATGTCTCTGCACATTGTACTGTATTAATGATATGGCGAGAGAGAAGTGGTGCTAAGCAACTGCCTTGTCAGCAGTGATGTGATGCCTATAAGCAGTAATCAAACAAATATATTACTTCTGCTTGGTCAGGGATATTTGAGATTGAACATCGTAACAATTTTTTTCTTGTAAAAGATTTTTTTTAATTAGCATATGCTCCATTTTGTTGGGCATGTTCCTGTCGATAATTTTCAATCACGGTTACGAATACCATATAAATTGGCGAACAGTTATATACTCAATACAAACATTTAAATGCTCACCTGCATTTTGCTCCTGATAATCGTAGAGCAGATTATAAACGAAAGAGAATGTCAGTATTTCAGAAGACGAGTCATTTTTTTCCATTTTATTGTTGTAGTTCACAATAACAGTGAAAACAAGCTCTAGAACTCAGCATAAGCCTACGTATTTAAAAAAAGCTGCAAATGGTTGGTGTTAATATAAGGCATGCGATATTTAAGAGTTAAGTACAAATCTTTAATTTATCTTCATATTTATATTTATATTTATATTTATGTTTATGGTATGTAATTCTTAAGACATATCATGAAATTATAATGCAAATAAAATTGACCAGACTAACGACACTGTTACTCTGGAAAAATGTGAAAACTATAAAAAGTGTGAGGGTTAGGGAAATGTTTTCAGTGACAAATGAAGCACTTTAATTACAAACAAACTTATTTTTATAAAAACAATGGAAAACTATCATTTGTATGTGTTTTTACCAATAGTTGAGCAATGATTTGCTACAGTGTACACAATTATCCACTACATCTGTCATATCAATGACGAGTTGACAGCTATCTTCCGAAGAGAGGTTTTCAAATTGAGCAAAATTATTACCCATTTTACTTGCTCTATCTGACAAGCTCATTTCAGTTGTGTTTTTGTCATCTTTCGATGTTTCGTCAATTTCTGGATTTTGACCTGCAATCGTTTTTAGTACACCTTTTAAATCTATATTCAATACAATTATAATGCCAGTAAACTTACTTAATTCACCAGTTAAGCTCTTTGCAGAAAAATCATCGCATTTCAATGGAGCTCCAATATCATGCACGATGTTCATATTATTGTTTTTCAGTGATTCATACTCTTCTTTCGAATGTATATAAGGCACTGCAATTGGCAGATCTTTTGAATATCTCTCTGATATAATTGATTTTTTTTTGTCGTGACGTTTTTCATCATTGGAACAAATCCGTGGGTCACTCCTTTGAATTTCATTATTCGAACTAATATTATAATTTTGGTTATATTGACTGAAATTACCAGTGTTATAATCACGATGAGGATAACTCATTAACTGATGACTAACTGTGGATTGATTGTTATAACTGAAGTTATTATTGTTAATGTAGTTTCCATTATAATGGAATCTCTGATTTGAACTAGTGTTATAATTTCGAATATGTGGACGAATTGTCATAGTATTATAACCACGATTAAAGTGATTGTTTTGATAATCCTCTAGTTGGTTAAAATAACTGTGATAATTGTTGTTTCTATTATAACGAGGAGTTTGATATGGACGACTTCTATTATTCCGAGAATTTATTCGTTCTCTGTAATATTTTCCACAGAAGTTATGTTGCTGATATGGTCTCATTTTTAAATTTTGTGACAGAATCTAATAAATAAATATTTAATTAATTTTTATTTATAAACATTTATATTATAGCATTAATTCGTATCCAAAAATTTAATATGAAATCAGGTAAGTGCAGAAAGAATTTCACTTATATGTCTTTTTCTGTAACCTACTTGACACTTAACCCTTATTACTACACAACCGTTCTTCATCGAATATACTTTTATAAAAAAGAAAAACTAAAAATGTTGAAATTAAAAAAAATTATTCTGTAGATGTGGAAAAGTTGTGTTGATAGAGAACTTCTGCCAAAATTGGATTGAAAGATTTTGTTGTGGAGATTTTGATGTGAAAAATGAATCGAGTTCTGGCTAATAATCAGTTAAAGCTAATGAAAATCAAAAAAAACATTGATTGATGCAAGCATCCAAATATAAATTCATGAAATCGCTTAGAGATTAACCTAATCGCATTCGTATAATTTGTTTTATATAATATTGCAGGAATAATATTGCAGTTTTCTCTATGACTAATTTCTCGAACGTCAAGAAAATGATAAATGTTTGACAAGAATCATGACTTTGAACGAGAAGGTGGTTCGAAGAATTGCATGAACCTTTCATTTGAAACATCAACATCAGGAAAAAATTTATTTGTAATAACCATAACTCCTTGGAGACGAAAACTAGGTCCCATAACACAACAGATATGTGGAAAAAGAAAGATGAACCGGTTGAATAAAAAATGATGCTGTCTGCATGGTGGGATTTCTAGCGGACAAAACTACGATTATATCTGCAGTATTCTGTCGGTATATCTACAAATTGAATTATTCATTCAAATTAATAGAGCTGGAATTGATTAAAACGAAATGTATGGGCTAATGCCAGATTTCAAACACAATTTGGTAACTCACCAAAAACAATCTTTATAAATTTAAAAACTTTTATTTCAACAAATTAAATTCCTAATTTACAAAATAAGCATAAAAACGAAAATTGTGTTGGCTAATACAGACAGCTTATACGTTCTTAACGAAAGTAAAAAATTGAAAGTGTGGTGTTGCCACAGTGTAAGTTTCGAGTACTTTTAAAAACTTATTTTCATTGTAAATATATTGTAAATATATTGTGAAAATATTGTAAGAGCGATTGTGAAGGAATTGTACCACAGCATTCTTACATTAGTGAAAATTACTTAAATGGATGTATTACGCTAAATTCAGAAGACTTGGATTGTCTTAAATTATCAATCCGCAATTAAATCTTCAGGTAAATCAATAAGGGCTATGATATAGAGAGCGCCCCGGACACGGCAAAAATAATTTACAAATAAATTCTCATATTTCATTGTAGTTTTTAAGATTCTAAAACTTTTTGTTAGGCGTTAAATAAAAGCGACTCCATAAAGATATATTGTTATTAAAAAAAAAAAAATATTGAATATTGAAAACTTGCAATACTGTCAAAATTCAAAAAGTTATAGTTCAATTATCAGAGAGTAACTTTTATTAATACATAATACTAATACATCAATATTCACACTATACTGCAAAGTGGACTACCCGTAATCAAAACATAGTTAAAGATCGGGGTCTGTAAACGTAGCAATGAAGTGCGTAGACATGTAGCCTCAACATCCCAAAATAGCTGTTGAGATGTACAGCTATTGGATAAACTCTTAATTAGCCTCTATACTAAGAAAATTGATTAGCCTTGTAGCACGTTTTTAATAATTAGATCTTGTGTCAAACCTTGTGCAAAAATATTTATATTTATATATGTAAACTAGCGAACAAAAAATATAATATATCATAAATCGTATATTATATTAAATTTAATTAGGGCTGAGTTTACAATCGAAACTTAAGTGTTAGAACTAACTTGATTGAATGAAT